TAGCTAAGGAAGCAATGGGTGCTTGCACCTGCTGTGTCTCTTTACCCAACACTGTTGTCACCAGGCCCTTTACTTAAATTTTAGGAAATCTTCAGGGTTACATTATTGTCTATATATGGCCACGTGGTTTAGTTGGGCAATGATGTCACCACTATCCCCTTCCCTTATATAGCCGATGATAGCTGTCATTCTGCTATGTGTACCTTTGAGATCAGTCATGTGCACCGAGTCATCTGGGTTTCTTTGGTGAGGGAGTTGGCGGGTGGCAGGCATCACGACTGACAATGTATTTGTAAATGTACAAGGGACATTTTCGGGGCATATTTTTTTCTTTAAATAGGACTTGTTGATCATTTGGGTATCTTTATTTCTAGGGGACATCTTCATATTAAATGAGGATTCCAGGACTAAATGAATCCCCAGCCCACAGATCCCCACAAACACCATCCAGGATTGTGGGGAAGAGGCCCATGTCCTCATCAATATGGAAACAAAGTGCATTGCCAGTTATGTCTCCCCCTCCTTTTCCTGACCAACCAAGCTATATGCTCTAACTAAGGATCTGATAGGGATTTTTAGGTGGATCTTGCACATATTTTATTCTTGCATGCAATTGCAATTAAACTCTATACCAGACCCTAGGGGTCTGGTATAGATTTCTTGGGGGACCTCACACACCTCAAGTACTTTCTGGGGGGACCTCTTCTCTTTAAAATCCATACCAGAGTCAAAGGGTCTGGTATGCATTTCAGGAGAGGGGGGACTAAATTTTTTCATTCTCGCTGTAGGATCTGCTACAGCAAACGTGGCATTTATGAAAATCCCTCAAAAAATACATACAAATCAGATCCTTGGAGGGGTCTGTGTGCTGTTTTTAAAAAAATGAAGCCAGGAAAAAAATTGAATTTCCCATCATATTTAAACAGTTTTTGTAAATGCTGCTGTAGCACTTTCTGTACATCAGAGATGTGTTCTTTCACACACATATTTAGCCCCCCCACGGACATGTTATGTAAAGGAATTGGGCATTTTTAATGCTTCACTTTAAAGTGGTAGCAAACTCTTCTTTAAAAATGTTACCTACAGGTAAGCTTATACAGTAATAAATCTTACCAGTAGGTAAAATTAATATCTCCTAAACGGTTCACATTTAGGAGATATTAGCCATTTTATATATGGTGCATGCGCTCTGAAGAAATGGCATACCCATACCAGTCCTTCAGAACACTTTGCCATTGCCTGGGACTCCCGCGCACATGTGTGGGAGTGACGTGATCACAGCTCGGCCAGTCAGCTAGCCAGAGCTCGCAAACCCGGAAGGAAGACCGGGTGAAGATGGAAGCCCGGGGAGCCGTAACAGCGCTCCGCTGGAGGGCTTCGTTTCAGGGTATGCAATGCATACTAGCACATTATGCCTTTACCTTGCAGGGTTTTTCTTTTTTAATGTGGTTTACTACTGCTTTAAGCATTTAAAAAAAAAACACTGCTCCTGATTGAATGAGACCCCTATGATATTTTTGGCACCCCGTACCTATTAATGCAGAAAATTGTCATTTTTAAATTTACGTATTCAAATCCTATTGATTTCAATGTATTTTGGGTTCAGCATCCAAACTTCTTTGAAGTTCACTGAACCCTGCTTGCACTGAGCCCAGGGCAGTTTGGCTTATCCTTTTATATAGTGTAGTTCTGGTTTATGGTACTCTTTTTCTTGCCAACATACCTTATGGTATGCCCCATCTTGTGTTTCTATATAGATTAGTATTTTACAAAGAAAGGAAAACGTATTTATTGGTAAATAAATTGCTGTGCCAAGCCAACAGCATCTGGGTTAGCTCCAAAAGTCTTCATCTAGAGTCATGCATAAATCTTTTTGATGTCCAACCAGAAAATGAAGCAGACTAGACAGAATTAGACACCCAGGGAAAGAGAGAGCTTCAAGCACATTTTTTGAGTCTTGGTAAATTATTTGAACTTGACAACATTAACTATAATCATGTGTTTATATTTTGACCTTTACTAACTGACATTTTATTATTTACATTACCAACTGACATTATTTATTTATTATTTAGTAGGAGTACAACAATATATTAGCATGCTCACAGTTGTAAACATTTGTCTGACTTTATTTAACTAGAGTGCATATCACAATAGGGGGAATTGTATTTATAAAATAATATTTAAGTCACCAAAGATGTTTTAGTGAATCTCCATTTGTCATAGAATGATTATTGCTTTGACTCCTGCATATATTCATTTGCATTTTGCCTACTATAATCATTTTGCAATTGCATTATGCCTCTGTGCACCTTCCAATCAGCAATATATGAGCAGCTGCATGCTAAAGTATGCAGAGAGAATGTTTTTCGGTGTACATGCATATACATTATATCCTGCAGTAATTATTATGTAAAAGGATCTGTTGGTGTTTCTTCCAATGATGTAGGGAAGTGCAATCATGAGGGAGAGACGATCATGACAGCAGTTTATCCTTTATTGTTCCATGATTGGACATTACAAGTGTGTAGATTATATGAGCTGGCAGATTGGGTTGTGTAACTTATATTTTTGTTCAGTAGATCCAAAAATACATAAACTGTTAAATTATACACAATTCTTAATATTCTCTACAAAAAAAAAATCAAACTTAGCCTTTTCCAATTCCTCCGTTTTATTTGTAAAATCCCAGTAAACATAAGAAATATAATTGTACTAATAAGTAGTTTTCACACATGCCCGTACATTGACTGGCTTTCTAAAAGGGCAATCAGATGCTTTTTTCAATAGGAGGAGAAATCAGTGGCTTAAAAAAAATGAAGAAAACAATGCATTCCATCAGGATTTAGCTCTAAAGGAGTATGGCTACTATACTCTTCTGTAACAGAGTTTCTTTCTTAGACCAATTGCTGTACATCAATTGACATTTTAAATGAATTCCCCACCCCTAGTTAAAGTATATTCCTGCAATGGCTTGTGGGATTCACAGCAAAAAAAAAAGTGTTCCTGGAATTTTTTGAAATGCCAGAAACTAAGTCTATTCTACTATGAAGGTAAATACAGCTAAGCTTAGACAGCTTGAACAGTAAGACTCCACTGTAGTGTTTCTAGGGTTCTATTTTCCAATATCTTTGTCTTGATTTGATGAATAATCAGTGGGAAAGAGAGTTTTATATTTGAAGCAAGAAGTCGTCTGGTAGAGATTTTGAGGTTGAATACATGAGTTAGAAATGCTATGGAGTGGTCAGTTGTAAAAAGAGAAAATAAAGTTTAGAGAAAAACAAAGCAAGGCAGTAAGAAAAAGCACCAGAGCAGGAAAAAAAGCAGTTACATAAAGCAGCTGTGCAAGACACGGCAAGGCAGACACCCAGATTGTACATGGACATTAGCAAAGCAACAGAGCAGGAGCCTAACTTGCAAAAAAGGAAAAGTTAAGAGTATTGTAAAGCAATGCAGAATGGTACATGAAAAGACCAGAGAAACTAAATACAGAGAGAAAGTAACAAAGTGTCAGTCCGAGGAGTATTATTATTACAGTACTTATTTAGCGCTGTCAATTTATGCAGCACTTTACAGATATATTGCACATTCATGTCAGTCCGTAACCCTCAAGGGGTGTACAGTCTAAGGTCCCTAACTTACATTCATATACATACTATGACAATTGGACAGGAGCCAATTAACCTACCAGCAGGTCTTTGGAGTGTGGGAGGAAACCCATGAAGGCATAGGGAGAACATGCAAACTCCAGGGAGGTGGTGCCATGATTGGGATTTGAACCAAGAAACCTAATACTGCCAGGAGGAAGTGATAGCCATTGTGCTGTATAAGGGAAGTTGACATGGATGACTGGAACAGGAGAGTTGCTAATTTACTCACTTTTGTTTGAATGCCAGAATGCAGAAACTGTATCTTCTACTGTATAATTGTATAATGACCTCACAGTTGAAGAAGAATCAGAACTCAAAAAGTTCTGTATATGATTCTCCGCAGACAAGGCAAATTGCTTTGTATACAGTATATGCAGAGGTATCAAAATAATATTCCAATTTATTTGGTTTATAAACTGATTTATTTGTACTAACTTTATCAAAAAATCTAAGGTCCCTAGCTTACATTCATATACATACTATGACAATTGGACAGGTGTCAATTAATCTACCAGCAGGTCTTTGGAGTGTGGGAGGAAACCCATGAAGGCACAGGGAGAACATACAAACTCCAGGGAGGTGGTGCCATGATTGGGACTTGAACCAACAAACCTAATACTGCCAGGCAGAAGTGCTAGCCATTGTGCTGCATAAGGAAAGTCGACATGGGTGACTGGAACAGGAGAGTTGCTAATTTACTCACTTTTATTTGAATGCCAGAATGCAGAAACTGTATCTTCTATAATGACATCACAGTTGAGGAACAATCAAAACTCAAACTTTACTGTATACGATTCTCCGCAGACAAGGCAAATTGCTATGTATACAGTATATGCAGATGTAGCAAAATAATATTCCAATTTACTTGGTTTATGAACTGATTTATTTGTACTAACTTTATCAAAAACTGCACGCTGGCCTTCAGGTGAAGTGTTTTCTAAATGCAGAGCACAGAAGGGGTGAGAGATGGGGATAGTTCACCACTCTTGCATGTTCACTTACGTGTAGGGATAAGCTAAACGTACCAGGGTTCAGTTTAAGGCAAATTCTTCTAAATTTCAGGGCAATGGCAGCCAAATGTTAAAAACACTAATGACCATTTTCTAGGCTAATAGGCATGTAATTGTCAAACAAATGGGATAAGGGGCTGGACACTGACCTGAGGAATTTGTACTAAAGCAAACAAACTGTATGAAATGCCTTTGGCAGGGAGAAGTTACTTTAATAATGCTTAAAGTGAAACATTAAGGATGCAAAATCCCTTTTAATAAATGGCTGGGGATGCCCTTGAGCTGTCTGTGAAGTCGCACATCTATATGATTTAAAGTGTTACTAAACCCAGGACCCTGCATTCACTATATCTGGACTGCCACAGTACACACAACAGGAAAATGCAATTATTTTTAGTAAATATAAACTGCTAAATACCTGTTCTCATCAGCAGTATATAACAGTCTTGTGACTTCTATCAGTGTCCAGCTGAGTACTGGTGACAGCTTGTAGAAGGAGTTTTCATTCTGCTCTGACTGCCCTGTGAGGCTTCATAACCAGTGACCCTCTGTATGGACAGCGCTGATTGGCCTCGTACTGATCACATGACAAAACTCTCTAGCAATATACACTAAACTGAGCATGTGCAGAGTGACTCCTAGAGCTCTGTACTATCAGCAGATGGGTTGGGGACAGTAGAAGAAGCGAAGGATCAGAGAAGACAGGATCAAACAACCTTTTTACATAATGCAGAGGATTAACCCCTTAGGTTCCACAGTGAGTAGAACAAGCATGCTTTACTGCATATACAGACTGGTTTTACTGTTGTAGGTTTAGTAACACTTTAACCACTTGCCAACCGCGCTATAGCCAAAAGACAGCTACAGCATGGTTGTCCAGTTCTGGGACGGCATCCATGAATGTCCTCCCAGGACGCGCCCCAGCACGTGCCCAGCAGCGCACACCTGGCGCTGTTGGTGATAAAAGTAAAAATAAATATAGAAATAAAAATGATGATACAAAATATGTTAAATATATATTAAATAAGGGAAATATAAATAGTGATGTACTAAATAAGTAAAGGTGGTAGTGGAGAGTAGTAAAGGGTAATGGCAGGAATAGAGGAGAGGCTGAATGTATTACAAAGGTATAGGATTATGAGGAGTATAGGGAATGAGGGGATAAGAGAGACTGGGAATCAGTTTGATAGCGGGTATTGGCTAAGTTGTATGGGGGGGGGAAGGTTTATGGGGGAGGAGGGGGGGCGTAAAAGGAACTACAGTATGGTGGACAGTTCTAGTTCTTCATTGAGGCCTCCAGGTGCCAGGGTATTTAGCCAAGTCATTTTTCCTATTAGCCAGGCAGGACTCTCGTCGATCCGGGTGGGCGTCATATGACATCCTTCCCAAATCGCACCTTGTGCATCCTCCAATACTACCTACTCCATACCACACACACCTCTACTGATAAAAACCCAGACTGTTGTACCCACCACACTCAGAACTGACACCACAGCCCCTATCCTTAACCCCCAGAACTCTAATCCCACACACCTATCTCCCAAAACGCCTTTTTAGAAATAACCCCCCTAACCTCCTTAAAAAGAAAACTAGAAGAGGCTGGAGAGGAAGGCACAAAAGAGAAAAAGAGAAAATAAATACAGTAAAGACTGTAAAAATAAATAATCTTTCCACTCGTACATTAGATAAAGATGATCTATCATTACTTAGTAGAGGGCTTACGTTCTCCCCTACTGCTCCCCCCAATCCCTGCACCCTATTTGTGGACCTCAACAAATTTTTACATGGACAAAAGCTATTCTCCACCAAAGGAAAAAACCTACCGCTTAGAAGAATTTTACAATTGCTCCTCCAAATTTCTCATTTACTGCATATCCTGCCCTTGCGATCTCCTGTATGTGGGTCAGACCATCTGTACATCTACCGAGTAGATGATAGCAAAAATAAACTTAGCATCCTAAAACATTTTTCCGAATTCCACTCTCAATCCTCAGATCACATGAAAGTTTGGATAATAGAAACCATCCCGAGGGGTCCCTCCCAAGCGGAACATTTTAAACGGCTCTACCAAAGAGAGACCTTCTGGATCTATACCCTAAATACCCTGGCACCTGGAGGCCTCAACGAGGAACTAGAACTGTCCACCATACTATAATTCCTTCCCCCCCCCCATACACATGAGTCAATACCCGCTATCAAACTGATTCTCAATCTCTATTATCCCCTCATTCCCATATACTCCTCATAATCCTATACATTTGTAATACATTCAGCCTCTCCTCTATTCCTGCTATTATCCTTCACTACTCTCCTCTACCACCTTTACTCACTAAGTACATCACTATTTATATTTCCTTTATTTAATGTATATTGTAACATATATTTTTATCATTAGATTTCATACAACATACATATGCACTATGAAGACCCTCATACCTCTAAATAAATAATAATGATCAAAATAAATAATAAATTAAAACTGATTAAATAATACTGTGCAAAATACACTAATCAGAAGTGCACATAAAGAACTGTGAAATATGGGCAAAACAGCAAAACAATAACTTATTGTCCATATAGACATACTGTATATTAAAGTCCATTTAAAGATAAAGACTCCACAGTGATAATACTGTAAATCGATGCTGTAGGTGCAATGTGGATAATCTTTCTTCAAATGGTCACCAGAGTGTGTACCGCCACCAAATAATTAAATGGAGGCTTACCAGAAATGGAGACTCATTAATTATAGGGGGTTCCAACCAGCATTGTGATATAGAGCACTAGCAGGCTCTCCATGTCATGCTTGGAACAGGGATCTTCCAAACCTCCAACTCAAATGTGAACTCGAAATGCAGTGTCAAATGAGATCATGAAAGAAAAAACATGCCTCTCATAGTGCAGTACGTATCAAAAACTTCTTTATTTGCGCAAGTAAAAACCTACTTACAAACTGTAGAACAGTTAGAAAAGCTTTCAAATAGACCATTTCCAAGATGGCCATCAGCACTATGATGTCAGAGGGAGGCTCCACCCGATGAGTTTTGTCATCAAAAGATGTCCGCTAGGGGCTACTTTGTTATACAGTACACGTAGAATTGTCCCTTAAAGTCTTCTCTGCTTCAGCTACGCTCTAATAAATCGGAAATAATACTACACTATGAGCACCTTCTTTTTTGGCTCTTTTTTGAGCTAACAATTCCCAGGACCCCAGTGGAATTACGGTTGCAGAGGAGTCTCTTATCCAGAGGAGGGAGGTTTTTCCCATGCTGTCTGTCTGATCCATCTAAAGGGGCTTCCTGCAGATTCTTGGTTAACATTCCGTTCAACACATTGCGCTTTAATTATGTGCATCAGGTGAGTGCGCATTTTTATCAATCTCCCGCACGGATAAAGTCACATGGAATAATCTGACACCACCTGTGCAATAGGACCCGTTTGCAACACTGTATTCTGACCGTTGTGTTTCAGACCTTCACCACCTTATGAACACTTTTTGCTTTAAGACTTTCACAGCTGCACTTATTTTATTGCGCCAACCATAGCGATTCATCCACTTATATTTGCTATCACTAATATATATATTATTGATTTATTATCATCATCATTTATAATTAATAAGGATTACATATTATTTATTTTTTTAGTCCTACATTGTGTCATTTTTTTAGCGCTGCGCTGTTTTCTGTCTGTATTATATATAAGGCCTAGGGTTCCTTTTTGGTGAATTTGCGGCTGATCTAATTGGATCCCTGAGCGCTCGCTGTTCCTTTGTTCATTTTCTAATCTGTTCAAAAGCCTGTCACATGACAGGGAAGAGTCACTTGACAGACAGCACAAATCATGAGGGTGCTTTATTGGACCATTGAGGGAAAAGATTTACGGCAATAGCAGTCATGGAAAAAAAGGACAAAACACACCAAAGGAAGCACATTTTAAGCAACATAACCAAGAAAATGCAGCTAATCCACAATTACATGATAAAATATTTACTAAACATTTTTAGCATAATATCTTGACAATGGTGTATTTAGTAGACTGTTCTTTCACAATTTCTCCTTGGCAGATCTACATACAAGAGCGATGCAGAACTGGCAAATCTTTTAACCTATTCCTGTAAGTGTACTACATCCTTAGTGAATCAGCCACAAAGGGTCAACTTTTTATGTGTATGTTTATCTATGAATTCTCATCCATTGTTTCAAAGTTCTATAGAAAATAGCAAATTCCAACCCATTAAGAAAGACATTTAGAGGGTACTGATTTATTTTTAGCATTTTTTTTCACATTGAAAATATTCTGAACTATGATAGAGAGTGTATTTATACAATCCATATAATTTTAAACCAAACAAATGCTTATACCCCTCCCAAAGTTTTTTTGTCTTTTAATTACCATTTTATATTTATTTGCATATAATTATAATAGAGCCTACTGAGGCTTATAATTATGATTTTACCCTTCAGCTCATTTCTTAGCAAGACATTGTATATAGTAATTATGTACACAGTTAGAGCTACGTAATGCAGAGATTTGAAATTAAAAGAAATTTCCTAGATTGTAAGCTCGAAAGAGTAGGGCCCTCTTAATGTTACTGTACTGTTTCATGTAAGTCCCCCCTCTATTGTACAGCGCTGAGCAAAACCCTTTGGCGCTATATAAACTCGATAAATAAATAAATAAATAATAAATTTTGTAAGTTAGGGGGCTGTATTTACAATAGTACAGTGAAATCAGACATATGCATTGCATTCACCTTCTGTCTAGCACAGCAAAGAAAACAAATGCTTTGCAAAAACAATACAAACAATATATATGACATGGTTGTATATCAAGCAAAACATTAAGATTATAGATTTATTTGTATTTTATACAAAACTGTGTGTGTAGATTATTTTCTATACAAGTGCATATTAATTCATTAAAAATTTAAAGGTAAAGTTTTTTTAAATAGGTTCCAGAGGTAATTCTGCTTTTCATTATGTATATAATATAACCTTTCTATCACCACCACGTGAATATTCTAAATATAAAATACCCAAATATTCTCAAAATCAATAAATGAATAAAATAAATAAAATCAATAAATGTCCAAATAAAGTCCAAAAACGTCCACCAAAACAAATAAATAAGTCCAGTAGGAAGGATTCCAATCCTATTTTAATCCTCGTGATACCTCGAAAAAAAGAATACTTATATAGTGCATTATCTTTCAAATACTCAGTAACAATATAAAGTGCAAAATAAATCCGTGCAAAATCCAAACCACTCCAACTGTGATTACTAGTGATAATGCAGAAAAAAAAAAAAAAAAAAAATATATATATATATATAAATATATCAAATAAATGTATATCCAAAATATTCTGAAAAATGTGAACCAAAATCCAATCTTAAAGTGAGCACTTCAATAAATTAGTGAACGCTCAGTGACCACTTCAATTCATACAGTGAACACTCTGTGAACACTCTAAATAGTGATAATAAATACCATTACCCTCTGGTAGTATTCATAAACTTATCCGATATCTCTGGTAACAGTGTTCTTCCAAGTTTTCCTTCATTTCAGGAGCCCATGAGTTGAACTGCCACAGGGTTCAGTGAACTTCAAAGAAGTTTGAATTCAGAACCCCACTGAAATTATGGGTTTCTAGGCTAAAAGACAAGGAGATGTCTAAAAATAATATGGGGGAAGGAGGGTGTGCAACATCTTCGGGACCATGTCCCAGTGCATACATTTTTTTAACAATTTCATACAGCTGGAAGCACAGATATTTACAAAGGAAAAAAGAGATGGCTTGCAAATGACATCTCCCTCCTTATTTTTAAAAGAAAAAATGGCACACAGACCCCAATGGTCTCCCAAAATACATTGTCACTTTTGTTGTACCACATCCTACAGCAAGAGTGAAAAAAAAAAAACTAACACGGAGTCTCCAAAAATGCACACCAGACCCTTTCAGTCTGAATTTTAAGGGGGTACTTCACACACACACACACACACACATACATGCATGAGGTTCCCCTATGGTTTTTAAAGGGGTTTCATGCAAAAAGAAAAATAATGTGTGGCAAGTCTCCCTAAACATCAATACCAGCCCCTTAACCATACCATGCCACATGTCCCTCAAGTGAATTTGGCCCTTGTATATATGATTTAAATTTGTCAGAACAGCCAAAGTTCCCTACTCAGAATACACAAAATCTCTCCCTAGTGGCGGGCTGAGAGCACATTAGCGTGTTTCTTCAGTAGTGCTGGGTCCGTCCGCCGCCTGGTGCATCCTGGGAGTTGTAGTCTTCTGAGTGTAGGGGGAGGACAGAGCTGTGTAAGGAGGACGATAGAGGTACTGCTGACCACTGATGATTCAGAGAGGGAACTCCAGACCAGGCTGTTCATATCCTTAAGAGGACCTCCAGCTGACCATTGAGAGTTATATCTTTAAATGCGTGATTTGATTGCCCATCTGGTGAGTACGCAATTCTTCTATTACCCGGCACACTACCATATCAATGGATATAGAAAGCTGATCACTATATTCTGAGATCATAATACTGGATCCTCAATTGCATCACTTTCCTTTTGGACATTGATTTATCACTATTGTCACTTTATTTGCCTCTGCCAATCCCTTCACTGGCTCCCGATTGCCCAACGCATTAAATTCAAATTACTAACGCTGACATACAAAGCCATTCATAACGCTGCCCCAAACTACCTCACTGACCTGATACCCAAATACCACCCAACCCGTGCCCTTCGCTCCTCACAAGACCTCCTACTCTCTAGCTCCCTGGTCTCCTCCTCCCATGCCCAACTGCAGGACTTCTCCAGGACTTCCCCCATACTCTGGAATCCAATCGGAATGTCACCTACCCTCTTCACCTTCAGGCGCACCCTGAAAACCCATTTCTTCAGGGAAGCCTACCCCACCCTCACCTAACAGCCGTTCTCCTCCACTCCTCCTACCACTCCATCCCCCACAGCCACTTCCTCCTGTACCTCTACACCCTCCCTCCTAGATTGTAAAGCTCGAAAGAGCAGGGCCCTCGTACCCCTCGTGTATTGTATTGTTACTGTATTGTCTCATGTACTGTCCCCCCACTTTAATGTACAGCACTGAGCAAACCGTTTGGCGCTATATTAACACTGTATAATAATAATAATAATATTTAGCACCATTAGTCACTTTGCAGTAACAGTATATATTGTCATCACCTTGTCACTTTATGGACTCATTAATGTCATGATTTATGGTCACTTTACATGCACTATGCACTACAATCACTTTGAATACTATTTGATATAGTGATATGTTTATTTATTTATTTTTTGCTGGTTCATATATACATTTGTATAATTGCTTTTGCACATACTGATTCATTGCACTTTATTTTAAGGTTATGGTAGATTTATCAATACATATTTATGTATATTTTAGGAATGTCCTTCATAAATACTGTGGCTTTCACAATCCAATAAACATTAATATTTGTTTTTTTTTGGGGGGAGGGGGGTTAGAGTTGTTAAAGTGGAATTTCATCCAAAAGAGGAAGTTCAGCTTTTCTCTCCCCCCTCAGTCTGCTATATTATATTTATATTTATATATATATATATATATATATATATATATATTTTTTATTTTTTTTTTTGGGGGGGGGGTCGGGTACCTAGTGTTGAGAGGTACCAGCTCCCACTCTGAGCACCTAGGTGACTGAAGCAGAATTTCAGTCCTCCTCTGCCCACAACCTTCTGGGACATGTCACAGGTCCCAGGCGGCTGAGGTTGAATTAACAAGGTACTGCTGCTTGCACAAGTGCAGTGTGGAGCCAGCTATGAAGCCACAAGTAGTCTCACAGTTGGCTTCCCACAGTTATCATGCTTGCTCTATGGACCCAAAGACCAGTGAAGAACCAGCCTGGTGAGGATGGTTCTGGATCCCTGGACAGGCGAGTGTCTGTTTATCAACACTCAGCATCTACAGTTTTTGTAGCTGCTGACTTTTAGTTTTATGAAACCTGGCTGAAGCTGCTCTTTAAGTTAGATTTCCTGGTTCATCCCATGCATTTAGAGGGCTCACAAATAGCTACTGCATATTTCAAGGAAATGCAGAACATGTAGAGTGCACTAGGCAACACAGTTATCAGCTTATAGGATTACATACTAATATTGTGAAAACAATAATAAATTACATTATAATCACAATCAGGGTACTTCAGGGGTTTTGGTTATGTGGTTTGGGTTAAAAAAGAAAATACTATTAGTCTCACTAATAAAATATACTATACAAAGTCAAATGAAATTCTAAAGCATATATTTTAAAACTTGCATCAAATGATATCATTAAAATAAGCTGCTAAACATTTAATTGTATTTATGCAGGCTGCTGCTGAGAGTGGAGTAACCATATGGAATGCTTCATTTATTAAGCTTACAGTTGACAATTGAGGTAATTATTTTAACCCAATCTATTATTAAGTCAAAAAAGTATGTTTTACCTCTGTACTGGACCCTTTTACCAGTTCAGTTAAGGGCAAGAAAGAATGCCAATTAGCTTATCTCTAGCTTTCTGGCTGGGTGGAGAATAGAGCAGATGTTAGCAATTAAAATGTAAGTTTTTTGTTCGATTTATGATTTGCAAGGCTTTCCTTCATTTTGTGCAAGACATTTATCTGTCATTTTCTTTGAAATATATATCCCTATTATTATACACATGTATTATTGCCCGCTGCTTTACCTTCTTCCCAGCACACACTGCACATAATAATTTACTCAAGGCAAATGAGCTGTTCGCTTTGCAAGGGAAATTGCTCCAGAGCTTAGTGACTGTGGTGCAGTTTCACTTTGCAAAGTATACTCAATCAGCTGCAAGGAATCAGCATACAATCAGCAATTTTGCCGGCACATGGTCAGATGATGAGACAGTAGAGCTGTACATCATTTGCTAAGCTATAATGAAATTTCCTTTGCAAAGTGTAAATTCCTTTTCAGGGTGAACCACCTATTTGCCTTTAGTAAATCACCTCCATGGAGACTGCTTTTTCACTCCAAAAACACACTGTATTACCGTAAGATCTGTAAATTCCTTATGAAATGAATGAATATTTTTGGAGGATTTTAGAAAGAGCCATAAAAAGGTGTTGATCTATGCTAAGATTCTGGCAAAAAAAGATGGTTAACTATTTAGCTTTTGGGCTGAAAATATATCTCCCCTTGTTCATTTCACATATAATGTCTTTTGTGTCCACCCAATATGGAGTGTATCTCATTACATATGTAATTTACTTTACTTATAAACCTATGCATTCAATGTAAAGATAAGAACAATTTACTCTATTGTTATGTTAATTAAAGATTTTGCCCTCATAACAAGGAATCTTTCCTTCCTGGAGAAGATCCTTATTGACAGGACAACCTCCACTCAGAACATTTTTTTACAGCAAAAACACAGGGGGTAATGCTGTGTTGGGATTTGAACAATGACCCCAGTGCTGCCAGGCAGAAGTGCTACTGTGCTGCCCAATAGATAATGTATAATGCAACAACTGCTGGCATATAGCAGCTTTTACATAGTGTGTTATAAGGTTCATGGTGAACAGAATTCACAGCTTACAGTAAACCATCACAAATAGTTCATGCCTTGCGAAAAAAATCTGCACTAAAGTGTTACTAAACCCAGGACCCTGCATTCACTATATCTGGTTTCCCACAGTACAGAACATGGGAATACAATTATTTTAGTAAATATAAACTGCTAAATACCTTTTCTCATCAGCAGTTAGAGCAGTCTTGTGACTTCTATCAGTGTCCAGCAGAGCACTGCTTAAAGCTTTTAGGAGGAGTTTTCATTCTCCTGTAGGAGGACACAGGACCCCTGACCTCTGTCTAGACAGGGCTGATTGACCTTGTCCTGAACACATGCACTCTCCCTAGAAAAACAAAAACCTCTCTAGCAATACACACCAAACTGAGCATGTGCAAAATGCCTAAGGTTCAGTCTATCTTATCAGGAGATAAGAGGTGGTCCCTTGAAAAAAGGGAGGAACAAAGAAGAAAGGATCAAAAGCCTTTTTACACAATGCAGAAGATTAACCCCTCAGGTTCCACAGTGAGTATAACAAGCATATACAGGTTGATTTTACTGTTGTGGGTTTAGTAACACTTTAAATAAACAGTGCTAATCAACTCTTTTTAATCTTGTTCTTTTGTATGAAAATAATAAAATAATAATCCTTCTTCTGCACTATTACATTTCCAGACGCTGTTTGTTTTTTACATGCAATTTTGCATCCATTCCCTAACAATATCATAAACGATGCAATTAACTGATAGGTCATCAAGGCAAAGAATGTTAAAAACTGAAGATGCAAAATACATAATGAAGTCTAGTAAACTGTCAAACCCTAGTAAAGAGATCTAAAGTAATATGTATAAACACTGTTCATAATGGGACATATAAAGAAGTGCATAATTGTTTGAACAATATTATGTATAATAAAAATACATGCAATATAATAAATGATCATTAATCTTCTATAATGAAAGGGTAAAACAATGAAAGAAACTACATCTAAACTGCACAGGTAGTAAGGCTTGGCTTGCAAAGCTAACATAGAGAATCCTCATTCAAAAAGTGACAGGTATTTTCGGCTCTTGCTTCAGCAAGTTCAATGAGATTTTAAAAAAGTAGCCAATTGGCTGAAAATAAAGCTTCTTATACTTGCGTTAAAGCGTTGAGAATTTAATCTACACTGTGGTAAAGATAAACAACACATTTATCTTCCCTTTTGTGGATTTATCATCCTTGTAGATGACATTTTAATTTCCCAAAAATGTTGGCAAAAAAAATTGGGAAATGGATTTGAAAGATTGCCATTTTGGCAAAGAGCATTGGAGTCAAATGGAAAAGGCAAAATTAAAGTGACTAAAAACAGCCTACAATTAACCTAGTTATTTTATGCTTTTATTTTACAGAAAGAAAAAAAAAATCAAAGTAAAAAAAAAAACAAAGGAAGCAACAGTACACAATTATCAATTGAATACCCCACAAATAAAACACAAATACAATTAATACTAAATGAAATTAACTATTGTTTAATGCAAATTTCACTTTAGCAACTCAGTGAGTGAAAGTGAGAATTTACACAGAAATTAAGTGAACTACAAAATGCATGAAATCTCATTATTACTTAGTTATTAAATATCTATTTTTGAGGGGGTGTAGTTAAGACAGCGTAATTTATTGTGATTTGTATTTTTTTCTTTGTGTATATGGTCATTATTTGTGCATTGACTCTTTAAATGTTTTCTTTTATTATTTATTTTTCTGTTTTTTTTCTGTGTAAATAATGTGAAATAGTGAGGCTAATGAGGTCATTTTGGTAAAACAGCAGGTACAGAATAGTTTAAAGGAGTTTCTCTACCTCATAAAAGTAATTTAAAGATTAGTAAAATCTGGGAATATGAAAAAAGGGGAAGGAAAGAAACAGAAGAACTGAAAGGTGATCATCTGGTCCAACCTACAGACCGAACAGGCCATGATCTATACTGGCAGAGAAAAAAATGTGGGTTCCACAGGTATTACATGGCCTAGTATTTCCATATGGCTTCAGTTATCCTTGCCTCCAACTTCTCATGTAGCATGGTTTGTGTGACTCGATATGTAACCTCATCTATAGAAAGAGCCTTACCAATTGTTTGCTTAGCAGCCATAAGCACATGGGTCATTAATTTAAATTACACCTTAAAGAAGTTGAGAGGTTTACTAAAAAGAAGGGGGTGTACACGGCTTTGAAAAGGACACACAGTCTCATGAACGTAGTCAGAATGGAGAATACTGCTGACCAAAAGCACTGAATCAGAGGGCAAGTCCACCATATATGGAAGAAGGTTCTCAGCTGTCTACACCCACGGAAGCATGTACAGGGGTAACCAGGTACAAATTTAGCTTTGTGGATAGCCACCATATAACATCTCATCATGAATTTGTAATTCACTTCTATAGCTATTTTATTGCGTGAAAAGGACTCACTGTATTCGGGACCAGTCTTCTTCGGTTAGATCAATCCCAAGGGCCATCGACCATTGGCACATGTAGGTCGGAGGGTGGAACATGGTTTTTATAGATCCTATTGACTACTACAATCATTGTGTTACATTTTACTGTCTTATGACATGGTTGGGCAGCTTTTCCAGATGGCTGGTATGATGAGCGTGTTGTCCCCATGGAGGTTATCATTGTTATTTCAGCTGGGGGAAAGGATTCAAATCCTAGTAAGGTTGATCAGGAGGCAACATAGTATAAGCTTAAAAGGGAGTTGGAAACAATGCAGTCAAAGCTTGTTGGGGTGATCTCTCATAAAAATGTAGCAGAAAGAGGGTGGGGTGCAGATGGTCATAAAGCAAAGATGACAAAAACTTACAACCTAGTGATCTTAGGTAAAGTTGGGGAAAAAACAAACAAATAATATATATATATATATTTTTTTTTTTACAAAACAAATTTAGAGCTAGATCAAAACATGTCATTCTGGACAGTCAAGAATGATTGATATTTTCACAATTTCTTACACGTAAAATGTACTTATTTATTAAGGTAAAATAACTCATACTGTATAAACCAAACAAATTGATCTTTTTAGTGATTAATTCTTTTTTTTTACTAAATAAATTAAAAAGATTTCCTGTTTGGTTATTTTTTTTATATAAAAAAAAATAAAAAGTGTAGGTGTGTTTGTGTGTTAAGTTGACATTTCTGGAACTTTACGTCAACAGGAACACATGCCACAATGTATACAAAAGGTATCATAGTAAAAAAAAGAACATTTTAACTTCTGTGTTTTTTATCATTAAAAATCAGTCCTAGAGCTCCAGGTAATTGCAGAAAAAACAATCATAAATCAAGTCATTACGAAATGTACTGTTTCGAGAACACTGAGGGACCCATTCCTAATCGAAAATGGATATCACTAGCTGCTATTTGCTGAGCAGTTTCCTCCACATTCTACCTGCATTTGACACTCCTTTATAAAAGATCTGTCAGTAGCACAGATGAGGGGGAGGGGAGCTGCATTTAGAGCTCTTGTACAGTGTATGAGAGCTGAACAGAGGAAAGAGGCACACCCTCCTTCACATAAGGCACAGGAAGGAAGGAACTATGCAGAGCTATGTTGTGAATAGACAAGCTGTGTGCTGATCTCTCTCCCCCTGTCACCATTTTATCTCTTGTGTCGGAAAAACTAACCCATGCTGAATGAAGCACCAGAGAGAAATTACACTCAGAGCTTTGGAGAGAGACAAGTAAATACTACAGATATAAAAGATTTGTTCAGATTTCATTACTGAGGTTTACAATCACTTTATTGCATCATTTGCAGGAGCATAGTCATAGCGGAGAATCCACTTGTCAGGCTAAAGTTCAGATCTTTTCCTCTGAACATATTCAGTTCCTACTCTGTCCACATTTGCCTCCATCCTTTGCGTTTTAGGCTGCCCACTTGCGCTATTGTGGACATCTTCTTGCCCCTTATTAAACCACCTATGTCATTTAAAAACATTTGATTTCTTCATAGAATGCTCACCATAAGCCTGTTGTAACAGAGCTTAAATATCACTAACACTTTTGCCAATTTTCATACAAAATTTGATGTTAATCTACTGCTTCAAATTACTGTCACTCATTTTTCACCAACAGCACACATATGTGTTATTTTTTCTTCTACTCTGTAAAGACTGAGTCAATTGGTCTGCAACCCAGGTAAGTGCAAGTTAAAACACGCTTGAGTGCAAAAGTCTGTGTGGCTCTCTACCACAGTTCTATTCTGCGGGCATTCAATTGTCACACCACATTCACTATCCATAACCCTGCCAGCCAGTGCCACACAGTATTTACTGTGGCGTGCTCGACCCCTGCCCCCCTACCCCAAGGGAAGGTGGGGGATGTGGCTGAGTTCCTGCACCTATTCTCTGAGAAAAAAAGCCCAGAGTAAGGCTATACCTCTGCTTTATAATGTACCCCTTTTTAGGTTGCAAGAGATTACAAAGACTGTTGAATTATCCGAGCTCTAAAGTTTTACATATTGAGAAGAAAGTTTCTGCTTTGGTAACACAATTTCCAAACCTGCATATGTAATAAGCAGAAATGAAAGGGAAAGAAATCAATGTATACGGGTTGGTTATAATGAGGTTGAGTCCAGGAAGTAGATGCAGTCTTTAAATGATACCTGAACAAAGATGGCACTAGCCCTTTGAGGCGAAAGGAATATAATGGTGGATGTGAGGGCTATAAATACGTGCAAGATTCACACTTATGTACTAATTTCCATTAATTCACCTAAAATTAAAAATGTATCTTAAACTAAGTCCACTTTAAAGATGAGACCTGCAACACATAAATTGTAAGGGCAATTGTGCTAGTTAAGATTAAACTGATGTAATTTCCTGTGTTTCCAATGGAGTTCACTGATTTGTAGTGATTGTGCTGTCAACATAGTCTAAATCTGGGTATACACTAGCACGCAAAATTTGTACAAGAATTAACAGTACATTTGAATGACAATCAAAAGTAGTTCAAGATTTTGTTTGCTTTTAACATTTAATTTTGAAATATCTGAACTCTTCTGAACGGAAAACATATCCACTGTTAGAAATTTGTACATTTAAGAAAAAAATTCTATCCTGCGCCTTTGAATTTTCTCATCATTTTGGTAACCCCAATAATGATTACAAAATTAAACCAACATTCTTACAACGAAAACGTCAAACATTATTCTACTAGAGTATACCCAGCCTAACTCACAGATAGCCATTCATTGAATATGAACACGTTGCACATAACAATAATAATAGTAGTAGTAGTTACCATATATTTAAACAAAAATAGAAATGATTAAAAAGCATTTTTCTTTTTTGTTCTGTACTTTGAAATCTGTTACCTTCTTTAACCTCCTTGGCGGTATTCCCGAGTGTAGCTCGGGGTAACATTTCAGTACCAAAAGCGGTAACCCCGAGCTACACTCGGGCTTACCCTGCGGCACTGCTCCAGCATGTATTCTTCACTTACCTTACCCTGCGCTCCCACGATGTGTCCCCTGCAGCGTCCCCGGCCATCTCCTCCGGCCGATGCCGGCATCCGGCTTCTGTGTCCTGTCCTTGTGA